ATTTGAATAAATACGTCACAAAAGAACATGTAAGGATCCCAAATGGCGGCAGACTAGGTGGATGTTACACTCACTTCCTCCCAGGACCAAAATGAAATTACAACTGAAATATAGAGGAATCAACCCAAATAACCAACTGAAGACCAGCTGATCAGGAGTCTTATAACCAAGGATTTACAGAAGAAGTCTCATCGAGACTGGCAGGAAGGGAAGAGATGCCAAAATGTCTGGCCCTGCTCTCACAGGGCCTGCTGTGACTGAGATTCCAGAGCGATAATGCAGCTGCAAAGTTTCCTCTGTGAAGCATGAGGTCTCAACCCCAAACCGGGCGTTCCAGCCATGGCACCAGAGCCAGGAAGCGCACCCATATAATATCTGACTGTGAAAATCAGAGGGGAGTCTGTCCTCCAGGAGAGAAAAGAGTCTGCTAGAGACACAGATGCAATCTTAAAGGACCAATGCACAAACTCTTGGAACCACTCACCCTGGGCTCCAGCTGAGAAAAGAGCAGGGTGGACTAGATTAGCAGGAGAGGCTGAGGTTTGTGGCTCTGCGATGAAAGCTGAAGAAATAACAACTAAGACTCCTTTGCTAAGTCACTCTTTCACACCACAGATGACGTTTTTCTTGGGTGGGGCATGCTCCTCCTTATGGAATCAGCTTGGGGGAATGCAATAGTCACACCCTCTGGGCTCCCTGTTGACGTCACCTGCTGGATTCCTCCTGGCTCCGCCCTGCCATGGTCTGAACAGAATCTGGGACAAACTGAGCTGTGTAGCTCCAGAGAGGGGGCCACCCCCTCTCCTTCCCCCAAGCCCTCAAGGGAGATCCACTAGCCCCATCCTACTGAGATCTGGCTACTGGCAGAATCTGGGACTAACTGAGTTGTGTGGCTCTAGGACTGGGGCCATTTTTCCTTTGAATGCTCAACCAGTGCAGAGCCCTCCCTTCACACAGCCAAATCTTAGACTGTTTGTGCCTGGTAAACTCTGCTGGCCTCACCCTGATAATGCCTTGAAACCCCGCCCCCACCATAAAGTTGTGCAAGCACATAGTGAGTGGCAGCTAGATTTGGTATACCCTGAAACTGATACTGAGTGGCCTCAAACCCAGCACTGTCACCAAGTTTGAACTTGTATCAGTCTGGTATCTACCACTACTCGCATCTACCTGGACTCATTGAGAACCTATCGTATGCAACTTGAATACCTCCAGAGGCTCTCAGTGACTGACTTTAACAGGCAGAGGTAGACAGTTGTCAAGCAGAGGTAGACAGATGCAGATTTCAAAGTGCCTTAGGTCTTTTGTTGACTTGCCCAGATCCCAGTGCTGGTAAAAGTCAACCTTGGTGTGCAGCTTGGGCCTTCCTGTATACACCCAGATCCAGCAAAAGCAGCCACAAACTGTGTACCAATTTGTAGCTTCAAACAGGTGCCCATGGCCCGACACAGGCAGCAGCTGATATTGACCTGAATCAGAGTCCCTCCCAAGAGGCCCCAGGACCAACATACCCAGTGGCCAGGTTTAAACATTAGATCAGGATCCAATTTGCTTCATAAGGGGCATATCCAAAAGAAGATCTCAGCAGGTACAAGACACTCCTGAGGCAAATTCCATTTGTGTCCAGCACCTGCACTGCAGTTCATACACAGTGGTTGGGGGTCAATATTCACAGTCAGCTACCCTGAGGGTTGACCCCAGGTACGATGGACCAAAAGCAATCAAGGCTCAATTACCAAAGGAGGGCTCACATTATCCACACAAGGAACATTCCTGGAGCACCCGGCTGAGGTGATCAAGGAGAGTGCACAACAAGGACACACAGGACACTTACTACATAAGGCCAGCATACCAACACTGTGAGACATAGTAGATCTACCTAACAGATAGAAACAAACATGAAGAGGCAGCCAAATTAAGGAGATAAAGAAACATGCCCCAAAAGAAAGAATAGAAGAAATCTCCAGAAAAAGAGCTAAATGAAATAAAGGCAAACAATTTACCAGATATAGATTTCAAGAAAAAAAATGGTTATAAGGATGCTCAAGGAAGTTAGTGAGAACTTCAACAGCATGAAGAAGGACATAGGAAATATAAAAAAGAACCGGTCAGAAATGAAGAATATAATATCTGAAATGAAGAATATACTAGAAGGAATAAACAGCAGAGTAGATAAAGCAGAACATTGAACCAGGAATTTGAAAAACAAGGTAGCAGAAAATATCCAAACAGAGCAGAAAAAAAAAACACTTTTAAAAAATGAGGATATGGAAAACTACAGGACATTAAAAAAGAGATAGAGGAAGACATAAACAAATGGAAGAACATACCATGTTTATGGATTGGTAGAATCAACATCATTAAAATGTTCATACTACCCAAAGCAATTTATAGATTCAATGCACTCCCCATTAAAATACAAATGGCATATTTCACAGACCTAGAACAAACTCTCCAAAAATTCATCTGGAATAAAAAAAAGACCTTGAATACCACAGCGATTCTGAGAAAGAATAACAAAGTTGGAGGGATCACAATACCAGATATCAAGGTAAATTACAAAGCCACTGTTCTCAAAACTGCCTGGTACTGGCACAAGAACAGACATATAGACCAATGGAACAGAATAGAGAACCCAGAAATAGACACAAGCCATTATGCTCAATTAATATTTGACAATGGAGTCAAGACAGTCTCTTCAACAAATAGTGCTGGGAAATTTGGTCAGATACATGCAAAAAAATGAAACTAGATCACCAACTTTACACCATACACAAAAACAAACTCAGAATGGTTAAAGGACTTAAATGTAAGATGGAAAACCATAAAAATCTTAGAAGACTCCATAGGCAGCAAAATATCAGACATATGTTGTAGCAATTTCTTTATTGGTACAGCTTCTAGACTCTAGAAATGGAAATTAAGGGGAAAATAAACAAATAGGACTACATCAAAATAAAAAGCTTCTGCACAGCAAAAGTAACCATCAACAAAACAACAAGAAAGCCCACCACATGGGAGAACATATTTGCCAATGCTATTTCAGATAAGGGTTTAATCTCCAAAATTTATAGGGAACTCATACAACTTAACAAAAGAAAGATAAACGATTCAATCAAAAAATGGGCAAAGGACCTAAATAGACACTTTTTGAAAGAGGACATACAGAAGGCCGAGAGACATATGAAAACATGCTCAAAGTCACTAATCATCCGAGAGATGCAAACCAAAACGACAATGAGGTACCATCTCACACCTGTCATACGGCTATCATCAACAAATCAACAAACAAGTGCTGGAGAGGATGCAGAGAAAAAGGAACCCTTGTGCACTGCTGGTGGAAATGCAGACTGGTGTAGCCACTGTGGAAAACAGTATGGCATTTCCTCAAAAAACTGAAAATGGAACTCCCATTTGACCCAGTAATCTCAGTTCTAGGATTATATCCCAAGAAACCAGAAACACCAATCAGAAAGGATATATGCACCCCTATGTTCGTAGCAGCACAATTTATTATAGCTAAGATTTGGAAACAACCTAAGTGCCCATCAACAGCTGAGTGGATTAAAAAACTGTGGTACAGCTACACCAGTGGTTGGCAAACTCATTAGTCAACAGAGCCAAATATCAACAGTACAATGATTGAAATTTCTTTTGAGAGCCAAATTTTTTAAACTTAAACTATATAGGTAGGTACATTGTTATTAACTTAATTAGGGTACTCCTAAGCTGGCCTTTGCTAAAAACGTCCTCAATCTGATTGAGGTACGTTCGCTGAGGTCGACCCCTTCCAACTCTCCCATCCACTCTCGTCTTGTATACTTGTTCCGTCTATCTCCTTTCGTTCATCCTCTCTATATGTCCAAACCATCTCAACATACCTTTCTCAATCCTCGACACTACATCTTCTTTCACTCCACAACGTTCCCTAAAATTAACTTAATAAACTTTACTTAAAGTTTTAAGTCTTAGTTAAACTATAGGTACGTTGAATAAAACTTGATATCATACTTAATAATGATATTATTTATTGATAAAATTAAATTCCTTACAATTTACCTTACAATATCCATAAAATTAAATCATGACAATGACTAACAAACACTAATGTGAACAATGGCCTTGCATCTCCTTGGAAAGTTTGGGTAAGTCAGGTTTGTATGTTGTTTTTAATTTTAGGCACCATTCCAGGTTCTCATCAGTAAGACGACTTCTCAATTTACTCTTGATAAGGTTCATGCTTGAAAATGATTGTTCGCATAAATATGTAGACCTGAATAAGGAAAGAACAGCAAAAGCTAGTGTTTTCAGTTGATTATATGAGTCAGGAATACTATTCCAAGTGTTAAAAATCAACATACCTTCCTTCTCCAGGTCTTTCAAAGCTGACCACTTGTGCTGTGAACTAAGTTCACATTTGTTTTTCTCCAATATTTCTATATCAGCATAAAGACGTTCAAATTTCGAGCTCCACAGTTCTTTGTTTTTTAAAGCCAGCAAATGCATTTCAAAGTTGCCAATGTCAATATTAAAGGGAGAAAAATTTAATTCTGTTACAGTAGCATTGAGAGGTTTTTTAACAAAGGCTAACGTTGCTTTGCTGTTTCTGAATTCCTGAAACCTGTTGAGAAAAGCTTCCCTCATATTTAAAAGTGTTGTTTTGAAATAGCAAATGTCAATATCAGAATTATTTTCTTGGCGATGTTTCAACAGGCTTGGAAAGTGAATCAAAGTTTCTCTTTCAAAATCTTGAGCAAAGAGAGATCATTTGTTTTCGAATGAAATAACTTCTTCTAACATCGAAAAAACTGTGTTTCCTTTCCCCTGTAGTTTACGATTAAGCTGATTTAGATGAGCCGTAACGTCTACCATGAAATAAAATTTTCATGATCATTCGTTAGTTCTGGATAGTGAACACCCTTCTCAAGGAGAAATGCTTTAATTTCTGTTAATAAGGAAGCGAAACGTTTCAAAACGTTTCCTCTTGATAACCAACGCACCTTGTCATGCAGCAGCAGATCTGCGTACTCACTCTCCATTTCAACTAAAAATTCTTTAAACTGGCGATGATTAAGAGCTTTACCTATAATGGAGTTGATAATCTTAATCACCAATTCCATAACTTTGCAAATTTCTTCTGGAAATGTCTGCGCACAAAGGGCTTCTTGATGAATGATGCAATGGTAAGTAAGTATCTTGTGATTAATTTTTTCTTTCAAAATAGCAACAAACCCGTTTCTTACACCGGTCATACTTTTTGACACGTCTGTTGAAACTGAGACAATTTCATCGAGTGGAATATGATGTTTTTCAATGCACTCAGTTACAGCATTTGCTATATCCTCTCCACGTGTTTGACCTTTGAGTGGCAATAATCCTAAAAGTTCTTCTTTAGGACCTGTAGATGAAATAAATCATACAAAAAGTGAAACTTGCGCTGTATCATTTATGTCACAAGACTCGTCAACTGCTATTGATAAAGCTGAAACCAATTTAAGATCTTCGACTTGCTGGTTGGTTATATTTGAAGACATTTTGAATGTTCTATCTTTCACTGTTTTAGCAGACAACGGTAACTCTAATTTTTTTTAGAATATCTGCTTTGTTCTTAAAATCCTGAAATAGCTCTTCAGATGCATTTATAAAACAACTTTTTATGTATTCTCCGTCTGTATATGGTTTTCCTCTCGTAACAATTTCTTGACTAACCACAAAACTTGCAATATTAACATTGTTGGAAGATTGCATCCAGTAATTAAATACAGAATTTGATTTTTCTTGACTCTTCTGAAGCTCCTCAACTGCTTTCTTCCTTGCATCACCGACAGGATATTTAGTACTAAATGACACGTGTTTAGTTGTAAAGTGTCTCTCCAAATTTGATTTCTTGTTATGCACCAATTTTTCCTGACAAATAAGACAGGTCGGAAGGCCATTTAAGTTTTGAATAAACGCGAAAGTCTCAGTCCATTCAACTTTAAATTCACGGTTTTCGTCTTCCGTTTTTCTTTGCTTCTTCTTTGTAGCCATGTCAAACAGGGCACCTAAAAAAATGTTTCATTTTATAATAGTAAAGTCACCAACACAAAATAATTACAATTCTTAAATTGCTGACAAAAATACCTGTAGGATTTGCAGCTGGTTGGAAAAATACAGGTAACTTTATGCTTTGAGTAGGTACTTTTGTCACCCGCGTGCAATTTGCGGACGCAACTAGCACTAACTACTGCACATGAGACTGCTGACTGACTGGCTCACTCAACTCGTGCATGAATCGCGCGCGCCTCCCCCGAGCTGCGTATCCCCGGCCCGCCTGCGCCGCGTCTCCTGTCGCCTGACTGACCAACACCCCCCACTTCTTCTAAGGCCACTTCTTCAAAATAGATCCACCCAGGCGGAAAACCGACTTCTGCGCATGGGCCACGAAGTTTCAATTGCCCTGTACGTGAGCGCCCACGTGGTATTTTGTGGAAGAGACACACTCAAGGGGCCAAAGAGCGGCATGTGGCTCATGAGCCGCAGTTTGCTGACCACTGATCTACACAATGGAATACTACACTGCTATAAAAAAGAAGGAACTTTTGCCATTTGCAACAGCATGGATGGAACTGGAGAGCATTATGCTAAGTGAAATAAGCCAGTCAGAGAAAGATATAAATATCACATGATCTCACTCATATGTGGGATATAATGATCAACATGAACTGATGAACAAAAATATATCCAGAGACAAGGGGTAGGGGGGGAGGTTAGAGATCAACCAAAGGACTTGTATGCATGCATATTAGCAAAACCAATGGACACAGACACTGGGGTGGTGGAGGCTTGCCCTCGTGGGTGGGAGTCCTGGCCGGGGGTGGGGGGGGTTGGGGGGGGCGAGTAATCAGGGAAAAAGGAGACATATGGAATACTTTAAACAATAAAACAATGAGGATAGCTTAACGGACCTTTGGAACAACTGAAGCATAAAAACTACCACATCATAGGGTTACTAGAAGGAGAAAAGGAAGAGCAAGGATTTGAGAACCTAGTTGAAGAAATAATGGCTGAAAATTTCCCTAACCTGGAAAGGAAAAAAGACACACAAGTCCAGGAAGCACAGAGTCCGAAACAAGATTAACCCAAAGAGGCCCACATCAAGACATATCATAATTAAAATGGCAAATGCTAAAGACAAAGAGAGAATCTTAAAAGCAGCAAAAGAAAAATAGTTGCCTAAAAGGGAGCTCCCATTAGAGTGTCAACAGAAACATTTCAAGCCAGAAGGGATTGGCATGAAATATTTAAAGTAATAAAAATCAGGGACCTACAATCAAGACTACTTTACTCAGCAAGGCTATCACTTAAAATTAAAGGAGAAATAAAGTGTATTTCAGATAAGACAAACTTAAAAGAGTTCATTACCACTTAACCAGTATTACAAGAAGTGTTAAGGATTTTCTTTTAAAAGAAGAAGAAAAAAAAACCACACGGAGAAACATAGTGATAAAGAATAAAATGTCATCCTGGCAAGTGAGCATCGTCCTGAGGACCAAAGGGGGTGGGTTTGATTCCTGGCCAGGGCACATACCCAGGTTATGGATTCAATCCCGGTCAGGGTACATATGGAAGGCAATCGATCAATGTTTCTCTTATATCGATGTTTCTCTCACTCTCTCTTTGCCCATCTCTCTCTGGAATCAATGAAAAAACCATATTCTTGAGTGAGGATTTTAAAAAGGAGAAAAAGAATAAAGTGGCAATAAATACATAACTTTAATATAACTTTAAATGTAAGTGGCTTAAATGCTCCAATCAAAAGAAAGGGTACTGAATGAATAAGAAAACAAGACTTATATAGATGCTGTCTAAAAGAGACCCATCTCAGAATGAGAGACATACACAGGCTAAAAGTAAAGGGATGATAAAATATATTTCTTGAAAATGGAAATTTTAAAAAAGCTGGGGTAGCAATACATATATCAGACAAAATAGACTTTAAAACAAAGGCTACAATAAAAGACAAAGAAGATCACTACACAATGATAATGGGATCAGTCTAATAAGAGGATATAACCCTTGTACTAGTAACATGTACGAATCCAGCACAGGAGCATCTAAACTACCAGGCAAATCTTGATGACATAAAGGGAGAGATCAGTAGTAACACTGTAATAACAGGGGATTTTAACACCCCATTGACATTAATGGATTGATCTTCCAGACATAAAAATCAGCAAGAAAACAGCAACCTTAAATGACAGACTTGATCAGATGGATTTAATTGATATCTTCAGAGCATTTCACACCAAAGAGGCAGAGCATACATTTTTTTTTCAAGGTCACATGGAATATTTTTTAGAATAGATCATGTTAGGATACAAAACAAGCCACTGTAAATTTAAGAATATTAAAATCATAGCAAGCACTTTCTCTCACCTTAATTGTTTGTGTTTTTTTTTAATCTAGTCACATTTTATTTTATTTTATTTTATTTTAAATAATTCCTTATTGTTGAAAGTATTACATATGTCTCCTGACCTCCCCTCCCTTTGGCCCCCTCCAATCCACCTCTGCACCCTGCCCCAGGCCCTCACTTGCCCTATTGATAGTGTCCATGGGCCATAATATATGCATACAAGGTCCTCGCTTGATTACCTGTCACCCACCCACCCTTCCCCGCCTTCCTTCCAAGAATCTGCACTCTATTCCATGCTTTCATTGTCTCTGGATCCACTCGGTTCATTAGTTTATTTTTTTACTTAGATTCTGTATATGAATGAGATCATGTGATACTTGTCTTTTTCTGACTGACTTATTTCACTTAGCATGATACTCTCTAGGTCCCTCCATGCTGTCTCAAAGGGTAAGAGATCCTTCTTTTTTACTGCTGCATAGCATTCTATGGTATAAATGTGCCACAGCTTTTTTATCCAAGCATCTACTGATGAGCACTTGGGCTGTTTCCAGATCTTAGTTATTGCAAATTATGCTGGTATGAATATAGAGGCGCATACCTTCTTTCTGATTGGTATTTTGGGTTTCTTAGAATACATTCCTAGAAGTGGGATCAATGGATCAAATGGTAGTTTTATATTTAATTTTTTGAGGAAACTCCGTACTGTTTTCCATAATGGCTGCACTAGTCTACATTCCCACCAGCAGTGTAGTAGGGTTTCCCTTATCTCCACATCCTTACCAGCATTGTCATTTGTTGATGATAGCCATTCTGGCAGGTGTGAGGTGATACCTCATTGTCGTTTAAATTTTCATCGATCTGATGATCAGTGACTTTGAGCATTTTTTTCATGTCTCTTGGCCATCTGTATGCCGCCTTTGGAGAAGTGTCTATATAGGTCCTTTGCCCATTTTTTAATTAGATTGTTTGTCTTCGTTTTGTTAAGTTGTATGAGTTCTTTATATATTTTGGATATTAACCCTTTATCAGATGTATCATTGCCAAATATGTTCTCCCATACAGTGGGCTCCTTTTTTGTTTAGTTGATGGTTTCTTTTGCTGTGCAGAAGCTTTTTACTTTGATGTGGTCCCATTTGTTTATTTTCTCCTTAGTTTTCTTTGCCCTAGCAGATGAATCCATAAACATACTGCTACAAGAGATGCCTGAGATTTTGCTGTCTGTGGTTTCTTCTAGGATTTTTATGGTTTCATGACTTACATTTAAACCTTTTATCCATTTTTGAGTTTATTCTTGTGTATGGTATAAGTTGGTGGCCTAGTTTCATTTTTTTGCATGTATCTATCTGAACTTAATTGTTTAAAATTTGAAATCAATCACAAGAAAAAAAATTGAAAAACACACAAAGATGTGAAGGCTAAATAAAATGCTATTAAACAATGAGTGGGTTCACAATGAGATCAAGGAACAAATCAAAAGTTATCTTGAAACAAATGAAGATGAGAACACAATAACCCAGAATTTATAGGATACAGCAAAAGCAGGCCTTAGAGGAAAATTGATAGCAACACAGACCTACCTCAAGAAACAAGAAAAATCTCAAAAACAATCTAACTATTCACTTAAAAATATCAGTAAAAGAACAAACAAAGCCTAAAGTGAGTAGAAGAAGGCAAATAAAGATCACAGCAGAAATAAACAAAATAGTGTCTAAAAAACAATTACAGAGATCAATGAAACCAAGAGTTGTTTCTTTGAAAAGCTAAATAAGATTGAAAAACTTTTAACCAGACTCACTAAGAAAAAAAGAAAGAGGAACCAAATAAATAAAATCAGAAATGAAAGAGAAGAAGTAATAACTGACACCATAGAAATACAAAGGATTATAAGAAAATATTACAAACACCTCTATGCCTATAAATTGGATAATCTGGATGAGATGGGAAAATTTCTAGAAACATACCATCTTTCAAAACTGAATCAAGAAGAAACAGAAAATTTGAACAGACTGATTATAACTAATAAAATTAAGACACTAATAAAAAAAAAAAAAACTACCAACAAACAAAAGACCTGGACCAGATGGCTTCACAGGTGAATTTTATCAAACATTCAAAGAAAAACTAACATTTATTCTT